ATGCCATTATTGGTTCATTCGTCGCGGTAGTGCTGTTGAATACTTTAGGGTTGACTGTCAAAACGGAACAAATGTAAAGCTGTCCCTTGTTACCCAAGATATTTAAATAAGATTTTTGATCGGAAAATATGAGCAATCACAAACGAACAACAACACATTGCATTTTACTATCTCCGGTTTTGACTAAACTTGTATGTTATTCGGTAGTCATAAGGCCCATGACATATTTACATATTTTTAATGGAATCAACCAAATGCAATACTCAGTTCTGCTTATATAGTACAGCCTAAACCAGGTAAATGTTCATACTTTACAAAACTGGCCCATTGCCCATAATCGTGACAGAACCCGATATAATTTTTGTATTACTAAAGATCGCGTGCTATTTCTGTTTTAATTTACTGTGCTGCAGACAAAACTGGTGTTTGTTTGCAAAGTCTAATGTCCATAATGATTCTATATCTCATCCGAACGAGTTCCTAAAGTTCTTATGCAACTAAAGTTCAACAACCTTGAAGCAAATTAAGATAAATATTCATTTAAAGAAAGGTTTCACAATGTTTTGACCCTTATCTTGTGCGTAATACAAATTTATTCTATTGAATGTGTCTCGGGTTTAGTTGTCGGTAACCTCTTTTAAGGGCGTTCAACGTTCATCCAACTTCGTTCTAGCTGGGGTAATTACTCTTTTGAGCTTCGGGTGAAAGGACCTGAAAATCATAGGACGTTTTTAACAATATGTCAGGTAGGCAAATTTAGCATTAAATTAAATTTATTTTTAGATTGCGGATTCCTGGTTTGGTTTATATAGAGTATATGTATATTTAGTTTGGCTTAAGTAGTAAAAAAATACATGAAAGTGTCTAAAGTCAGTGTGTAAGTCGGCGATACATTTCACCAACCATGACGCGATGTTTAGTGATTTATGCGCGGTCCAGCAAAAGTATCGTATGGCACGAACAATGTAGGCGAGAGCGGGTCACGTCTCTAGATCGGGTTACCTGGCCGGTACTATGCACTCTCCTATTCATGTTCCGTAAAAAAGTGTAGCTAACTCGATGTTTTGTAGGGCTGACTGAAAGAAGCAATATTAATGATGCGATAATAAAAATGTATTATGCATTACCTTATAAAAATATTTTAAAATGATATATTTTCATCTTGATATCATTTACATGTCGTATTAAACTAAAAATTAAATTAAATTTTAACAAATTGTTTAATTTTCAAATGTCCGTTATCAAAGCGTGTTCTTATAAGCAATGAAAATGGTAGGTAAGTAGCGATGATTATCCGGTGTTTCTTTGCTATACTGAGAAATAACATTTGTGCCAACCCTACAATGATAGGCCCTATTGTTCGTCTTCAGTACCCCGATTTTGTATCCCCGTAAACCTGTTTGGAAGGCAGTTTCTATGCTACCAATTGTAGGTATGTCATGGTACTACACCAGCCGACGTTGTACAATGATTCTTTCTTTATAAATAAATCTGTTGATACTTGTTAGGGCTTGTTATTACCTATTACTAAAGCGTACTATACTGGTTAAGCTATTATGTATATACACTGAAGCAGTAGTATATGGTTTTAAGTACATAATGTTTGTTTAACAAGTTTAACAATTAAAATTACCATTACTATGAATTATGCATTTTAACCGGATATGTTATCATCATGATTTGCGGACGTACAGCATACTTTTTTCTGGTACATCGACCTCAAAAGATAATGCGAGATATGAACGGAACCATAGCGAAAATGTTCCAATAACTATAATGTCCTACCCAAAACTAGCTACTTCCTGTCGTTGCTTTCTTAATGCCTTTTTGTTGTTTGAAATTTCTTTTAGTGTAAACAGTGTCATTTACCTCATTTTGAATGGAATCTAACAAAGTGCATTTATGCTCAAAACATACATATATATATTTTAAGTTACTTTCTTTTTATTTAAGAAGTTACCTACTCACTAAATTTGACAACTAATACCCATATAGTGGGGTAATTCGGTTCAAAATTTAAGCTACTGTCATTAGTCTGTGCAAGGCGCGGTAGGTCTCGACAACGATACCGACGGTCACTGCACGCACAAGTTGTATTAGAATCAAGTTGCGTTCGATTACTTCCTAGTAGTTTCGCTTCCCCATGCCCACGGCGTTGATTGAAGATGAAAGTGCATTCTAGATAATGAGCGTAGTTTTTACAAAGGAGGCAATTTTACTGTAATCATTTATATTTCTTATGAGAGGTACAAGAATGAAACATCTTACTTTTTACACGCTCCTCTAGTTAACTTTGCAAAATAATGATTTTTAATCAATTTCTGTCACCGACTGACCTTGCATCGGGGGTACTCAACCGACACGGCTTGAACTTAGACCGTCTGAGGCTCAAGGTCTAGAAAGTTGGGCCTAACAACAGTACATTCACCCAAAACCCTAGAGTCCTTTGCCTAGAAATTTCTATTACATTGGACCTTGAGGTTATTACAGTGCAGCTGGCCCGTGTTATTTTGGAACGTTTTTGGTTTTTGGCTTAATTGTGTCAACGTATATTCACTAGGAATGTTCTTATGATTACTAATTTATTTTGACTTTTTTTGAAACGATTTCGGTCATTTAAATTGTACGTATGAATTCATTGAGATATGTGAAACATAATTATACATAGTGTAGATGATACAATCGATGTCGTGTCAGAGTGATCGATGTCACTACTTCCTAGTTTGTTTATAATACCATCTTACGTCATAAGACTCTCTATGATACATCTCAGTAATTAAACAAAAAGAATCAGCTACAATTCTCGTATTATGTTGCCATTATAGCTGAAAATGATGTAATGCTAATCCTGATATCGGACTCCAGGAATAAAGGCTTGCAGCGGTTGCATTGAAGTTGCACTTAATGTTTCTGTCTCTTTTTATAACGAGTGGATAGGGTGAGGGAGGGAAACAGAAATAAACGAAGGCTTCGCCGCCCAAGCATGGAGCCGCCCGCCCGCCCAGTCGCCACCGGAGTGCCGCCCTGGATACACCGCGACGCTTTAATCGAACAATTTGCTTTTAATGCCAATGCACTATACTAGCTATAATATGAATAAAAATATTAAATGGTGAAGTACATTTTGTGATACGACTGAATATCCCAGTGACATTTATGGATCGGTAAGTTTTGCAATCAAACTAAGTTTAATTTTCGCACCATAATTAAATATTTTTAGTGGCTGAAATATTTCAAGTGTGGTATTCGTTAAACATTCTTGTTAAATCCGTATAATGTTTATTGTTGCTGAATATGTCCTATTTTTTTAAACAAACTTGTTTTTGTTATGAATGTAACGAATATTCACTATATAATTTTGCCAGTATCTTCAAACCATTGAAATTAAGTTACCGTTTCTATGCAATGATGTTGCATACATAATAGTGTATAATGTGTCGAATTTGTGTCATCAGCCATATCATTTCACACTTCGTTAAAAGTATTTCATATATCTACGTATATTGTGGGTTAGGCGCAACAACCTTCGCTTCCAAATTTCATGGTAATTATTTTATTATAACATTTAATCTCTTCGTAATCCATTACTAGTTTTGTCTCAAATAGAAATAAATGTTTTTTTAAACCTGTCCAAGATTAGTGTCCAATTATCTCGCTGATACAAATATTCCTTCGTTTATTTATAAATTTAAATATCAATGAAATATTTACTCACTTAGCACCATTGCTAAGTCAGTCGAATATTTTATTCAGCGTCAAAATATCTTTCTTTAGTCGAAACAGTTATTCATTTATTAAAACTATTTTTTTTTTGTTTTAGGTGATAGTTTTTAGAGTTTATTTTGGTTTTGTATTAGACTAACATCAGATCTTTAGTGCTTAGTTCTGTATTTTTAAACTATACATAATAGGTTTCCGTGAGACAAAAGAATTTGTTCTGTGAGGGGAAGAGTAGTTTTTCCAAGGTTTTTCCTCTCGTGTCATCGTCACGCACTCTATCGCCGGATGACGCTCCTCAGCCGTCGATTGTTGTTCAGAGGAAAGGGGTGACACCCTCCCACGCACGCATCTTCATTCAAGTGGAAGCTGAGTTAGTCATACACTTTGTGCCGTCTAATGTGCATGATGATAGTGACATCTTTTTCATTTCAATGGTTTGTGAAAATTATGCAAATAAGGCAAACACTCGCGTCACAGTTACATACTAATAGGTGTTTACAGAAAGTTAAGTCACTTTCTTGCTGAAGTGAAAAATTAATAAGAACTGTTTTCAACTACTATGTTAATTAATGAAAATAAAAAATTCTTCTTCGTAATTATTGCAATGTCTCATCAACCATTCATACTTATTAAATCATTAGAAAGTATATAAAATCTTTGTTACACACGTTTTCAATTAGAAACAACAATGCCGTAATATTATGCAATTACCTTGTCCATACCACATGCATATATTTATAGACGCAAGTATCATATAACCCTTCCGTTTTAAACCCCTACGACTGCACGAAATTACCCCACGTAATTATTATGGGTCCCCATGAAGGGCGCGGTTTTTTCTGTTCAAGATATTTCGCAATGGCTTTACGTACATATGTTAGGGTCTTACTTGACGTAACAATATTAGATTACTATAATGCAGTTTTCTGTATTTGCCAAAAATTGAATTCTTCGGAAATTTTAGTGCGGATAATTCAAATTCAATTTCGAATTTTAATCAATATTTGAACTTGAACACGAACTAACGAGACATTCTCATAAGGGATTCGGGGCGGAGTTATTTATATTCATAAATCCATAATCGAATCACTCAGTACATAATGTAATAATATAACATTGAATAATCTTTAAGAATTTGTTTTCCTCGAAAAGAAAAACATTTACCGAGGTATCCTTTCAATCAGTTAAATCTGATTATACCTTTGAGAAATGGTTTTAATATTTTATATCCTTATTATGGTAGGTACTCGTACCTAATGTTTTTAATCTGTTTGTTACAGTTTACGGCTTGGGTGGACGCTGTGATCTTCGTGTTCAGCTTGGACAACGAGATCAGCTATAATACGGTGTCAAACTACTTCAATAAAATGTCCCATTATAGGAATTCTGCCGAGATTCCGATCATATTGGTCGGAACCCAAGGTGGGTTTATTAAGTTTTCACCTACTTTAAGAAATTGCACTATTTTGTATTATCTAATCGTACTTTTCTATTAAATTTATCTACAATCTTAGTGGCGTTAGATTTTTAACGATAAAGTAGTACATTGTCCTTACAAATTGGTTTTAACTTAGGATAAAATAATACCCTTTTGGCACTCTTATTATTGCCGCAGAGTGATAACATTAATAAATCACTGACATTGTGATTTGTTTTCCAATTAAAGAAATATGAGACATAGTTAATTAACATAATTACGTACACGCCTCTGATTACTTATTTCCTGTTAAATCAATGATTGGTTGCTCTTCCAGATGCCATAAGTGAAAGTAGTCCACGCGTGGTAGACGACAATCGTGCTCGCAAGTTGTCGAATGAGCTGCGAAGATGTTCTTACTACGAAACTTGTGCTACGTATGGACTGAACGTGGAACGAGTCTTCCAAGACGGTAAGTATAACGATTTTAAACGAACATCGAATATTTATGCCGGATGATGTCAGCTTACGAGGTTTTTTCTATAACACTGTTTTTGGAATGTTTCTACCGTTGTTCGTTTACATAACAGAATTGTTATTTGCTTTAGTAGAATTTGTTTTTGCAAATGTGATAGAATCTATCTACCAGGTGTTTATAAATTAAACATAGTGTTCTGCGGGGCACAGAAATCCTGTTTTCTAAGATTTTAAATAGTAAGCAGACAATATAAGTTTTTTTTAACATATTATTTAAGTTATTCCATACCTTGGATAAGAAAAACAGGCTTATGTTTATTTAAATGTACTTTGAATCATACCATTAGGTATATCCAATAGTACAAAAATCATAATTAGTATTTGTTGTGCATGAATTTATTATCATTCCTGTACCTATACACGTGACACAAACGTTTGGCCGATATAAATACACGTGAACATTTTTATCGTTTTAAGATTAATCTACTTATCTGACAGATATCTACTTGTTCCACATAAGAGAAGATTTCTGCCGATGTCCGTTAATTATATCAGTCGAATCTGTTAGTTATTTGATTGAGACTGATAGAGAGTTTTAAAATTACATAATAGACATTTTTTTGTCGCATCGTCTCGCGTGATGCTACGATGTGATGGGACTACAAGCGCACTTATTAGCTAGTCTGTGGATCTCGTTTCGCTTGCGGGGTGTTCTAGCGCAGGCAGTGGCAACACCGACTTGCAGCCGCGCGGTCGTTTAGTTCGTTCTCGTTCGTTCGTCGCCGCGACATTGCATTGTTTACATTTTTTTGACGTTTTTCAAGCGTCGTTTGTGTGAATATTGTGATTGTTTTCTATTTTATCCTGAATGGAAGGATGGAGAGAACACTCATTTTTAAGTCTAACATGTCACCTATATCTAGTTTGAGGCGTCGCAGTTCGTGCTACAACATACAAAGAGCGGAGGAACGCGATCGTAGGAAATCGTCTAAATTTGAATGTGCGTGAAATGTTATTGTTCGATTAACCGTTTAGATCTAGTTGTCGTGATTTTTGGATATCGGAATTGTGAAAGTTTTTTAGTGTGGTGGTGAATAAAGCGGTGATTGTTTTGTTTTGCAGCATGTCAGAAGATTGTGGGCACTAGATTGTCCGCCTCGTCGCAATGTTTGTCTGGAGGTTCCAGGCCTGTGACTCCACAGCCGTTAGTGAATTCGCCAAGCCACAACCATTCAACATTCTTGTACAAGGTAATTGTTTTACTATTACTTCCTAGTGTTCGAATATGTTAAATTTAGTTGCAGTCACGATATCGAGATCTCGCTTACAAACTTTTTTTACACAAAAGTATCAAAAACTACATTTCCTGAACATAAACAAAAAAAGATTACAATAAAAATAGTTTAGCCTACCTCCTGTGATACAAATGTGCCACCTATTTTTAGTTAAGACTTAAGTGAAACTAGCACATGTTACTATGTCTTAATCCTTTCTTTGAAGGACACAGTATGATGATGTTCTTGTTTATAATTTTATCACAACAGAACAATTAAATTAATTACCTTCATGCTTTAAGTACAAATGTAATGATAGAATTTAATAACATCAGACCATAGAGGCCATGAACTGTGCAATGTGTTACACTTAAGAACACATGCCTGTGTCTCAAACTCTCAATGACAAATAAAAAAATAACAATGTTTTTTTTTCTTTGTACAATACATGTGTTATCTGATCTGATACAGTATAACAACAATGTATAGACAGAATTTGATTTGAATTTAGATCTTGACTATTTTATGTCATAGTTTAGAAGATTGTACAAGAGCATGATCAAACCACCCTTTTTAAAGATAAACATTATATTGTTATATTAAAGAAATACCTACCAGTTCAATTCCATAAACAATGATTCCTTGACATCTTATCATAATTATTATTAAATGATAGATTATAAACAAAACTGATAACTTTTTAATATCATTGTAAAGCATAGGTATATAGGTATGTGCCATACAATGGTACATATTAAGATTTATAAGGAAAAGTTTATTATTTTCCTGTGTATTTTTTATTGCACAAGAATCTGTTATCTTAAGTACTGATTTGATTAATCAATGAAACTTAATGTGGACTGTTGAGTCATTCATGGAACTCAGGGACAATTTAATATTAGAGTCATAGGGACCATGAGACAGCAATTAATTTATGTGTCTTATGGTTTTATTATGAAGCCATATTTTTATTTCAATTTTACTTGAAAATGTTGCTGACGTAGATGAACATAGGTTGCCCACAACCTGAATGTTAGTTTTGTTGTTAAATTACATCATGTTTTGTTATATTATGTAAATCTAAATCTACTAAACAATGACAAAGATGGGTTCTTATTATATTTTGTTGGCTATAAGAGTAGTTGGAAAAAATATGTTCCAAATATCAAAATAATATAGAGAGCTCTAAGGCTTTTTGTAAATAAAAAAAGAGGAAGACTTCTGCTCATATTCAACTACCATCAACTTTCATGAACAATGGTTGTAGTTCTATTTACAGCAATTTGATACTTAGACAATTATATTCATGGCTCATTAGTTCCACTTAAAACTTTAATTATATGCTCTACTGACAGTCCAAATGTCGGATTTTTGTAAAACAATTATTTACTAGTTAACTTTAAACATTATTTCGCTCCCTATTTGTTACAATTTAACAACAACATCATTCTGTTGTATTCATTTGTAAGAACTTATCAGCACTGACAGACCAAATTTCTTTATAATAAAGAAAAATAATGACACAATTTTGGGGCTTTCTCCTGTGTAATTTCTTTCACAAATAGTTGTTCCGTATAGAAAGAAATTCTACAGTTCAGTTCTACGGAACAACTATTTGTGGATCACACAAAGTTTTTTATGTGGGATATTAAACCACTATACATAGCATGGTGGCGGTCGTACTTTAATTTGACTGTACATCGTCATTAGCTATACTTTACTTACTTAAACTTAGTCACAAATTTCTACAAATGTTAGGGGACTTAGGTAGGTATTCCAGCGCTTGTCCTTGTGCAGATCAGTGTCATTTTAAATTATTTGTGAAAATCAACTGGTAAGTTAAGTAGCAATTTATTTGGAATCTAGCGCCGCCATGCATTTGCTATCGACTGTACTACGAGGTGTGCTCCAAGAAATGGTTTGGTTTGATACGCGCCGCATCTTTTCGCTATTGACCCACGCAAAATCCATGAACGGCGCTAATCACTTACCATCAAGTGATACTTGAACTAAATTGCCGCCTATTTCATAATAAAAAAAAACTGATTTAATAGTTTTTCATAATTGCATGCTGCTAAATTTAGCTATACATATTTATATCTATAGTATTATTTAGCAATAGTTTAGTAATAAACAATTTTTCAAAGTCCATAATTACTTAGAAAAGATAAAACTATTTTTTCTAAAGAAAGTACTTGATTACCAGCTGTTATCATTACTGTTATTTGCAGTAATCTGAATGATAACTTAATATAATGGAGGTGGGTGTTTACGTATATGTATTACCGAAGTAATATCTTATCATAATCCAGTACTTATGACATTAAGTGCTGGTTCTGTTGGACGGTAGGATAACAAAGAGAATCCATTACTTTTTGAACCTCGAAAACATAAAATAAATAATGTTTATTGGTTTGTTTTTAGTACCTATAGTTTCTGTTGTAAAGGTAATGTTTTGTTTGACGATTTCATGTTATTGTTTTAGGAAACTCATTTATTGCCTTCTTCTTCGACTACAACAACTAAAAAAGTCAACCTGTACAGATTTGTAAGTTTAACTTTAGAATACCCCCATATAAGTGCCGTTTCTCCTTTCCTAAAAGGTCTGAGTTACCTAGGTCCCTATGTTCTGTGCATTTTGCTGGATAACCTTATTTTTGGTAATCTTTATTTTTTAATTCTCTTTACCAGAGTGCTATTTGCCATTCCCAAATGATCTTACAGACATTCCTTTGTCTTCTTGCATTTTAATGTCCACTGGTGTATTGATCAGTATTGAATGACTCATTCCAACCAAGTTTTCCTAATTATATATTTACTGTTTATCAGGTATTAGCATTATTTCAATACTAATATAAGTTCAATACCTTAATGTAATGAGTGTCCATGAAAACTATAATCGTTATGATAATTCTTTGATAATATAATCAATAGATAGCAAAATAGAGATTCTTTTCTGAATTCCCAAAAAAAACATGTCTTTTTTAATTTGGTTGCCATGGCCATTAACTATTTAGTTTTTTATAGAATAAAAAAACAAAATATGCATATAATGTTTACCTGTGATTATAAATTGAGTAAGAAATTAGAATAGAGTTTTATTATTTTGATTGCCTATGGTATATACTTAGTAGACCAACACATTAAACACAGTACATTTCTGTAACTTACTATTAGTCGAAGCGAAAGTGAAAATCATGTACTTATGTAAAAAAATTAATGTCTTTTCGTGTTCAGAAAAAAATACTTCCATTTTTTTATTAAAATAAAATAAACATAAAACACCGGTATACAAATCAATGAAAAGAAAATTGAGCTGTATAACAGATATTTATTCTTGTAAATTCAAAGAAGTCACTACAATTATGAAAATATCTTTCTAATCATATATGTGATATCAGTGTAATCTCATTGCGTAACAATAATTATGTAGGTGACTGTACCACTTCGAAGCAAGAGTGAAAGCTTCGAATTTTACCTCTAACACACGTAATCTGTTCAATAAATAATCTGTTTGGTTCTAGCATAATTTTTGCAAAAAAATATTTGTCAAGTCATTTCTCAAGTAGGTTGTACACGTAATCTGATAAAATATTGAATTTGCATGTTTGAAAAGGACTGGTTTGTGTGGAATGGAATTGGTGCTGTTATGGCGTTCTGACGATGTGCGCAGTATTTTGTTTGCTAAGCTATTTTTTTCTATTGTTTTTTAAATATGCTGATGTAGTAGTTCACTTAACACCGTGGGTAAATATTTATATTACCTCGGATTTGACCTCTGAGTTTGTTTCGGTGTGTCTTTTCAGAGTAGTCAAATGGCATATACTGCTCTTATCTAGATCTGTTTTCCAATATAGATTTGTGAACAGAAATACCTCAATATCATATTTATTTATTTTATACACTTCATTCACTTAGATTACATAGGCAGACTGCGTTAGGCAAATTCTTCCAAAGAGAAGTCGAAAGAATAAACTTACAAAAATAAGTTTACCAATAAGTAATATTTTTTGACATTGTATTTTATGCAAGGAACATTTTGACTGGCATTAGAATGAGTTACTTTTGTAATGAAAAAATAATAAATGCACATACATAAGGTATACATACATAGGATACAATTACTTAAAAGATGTAAAGGATCAAGTACAGATGCATACAAAACTACATAAATATTCTCAAAAAATGCTTGTGTATATATACTTTGCTTAAATACATTCTTTTTTTATTAAATCTTTTCTTTGTATGATTTACGTTAAGATTTAATGCCTTTTTCCTCTGTTATTTTGGAATGAATGGACGATATTTTGTCTATAAAATTGTTGTTTATAATTTATTATCTATTAAGGTGTGTCCAATAATTTGCAGGGCATAAATCAAATACTGGCAGGACGGAATTTATCAACAAATAGTTAATTGTAATTTGGTGGGCCAGACCTCCTTAAATAATTCAAGGCCAATAAAGGAGTGTAGGTAGATAGATTCAAATATTGTTTTGAACATATTTGTTTTTCGAATGTTTCTATATTTTGTGCGTCTATATTTAGACTATGACTAACATTTATCAATATTAATACATATTATAAAGAGGTAAAATAAGTAAGATTGTATGTAGGGCGTAAACTTTAGAACCGCTGGTCAGTTTTCCAAAATTCTTACACTGAATTGCTCCCAGATAATAGGCTATTTTAGTCGAGTTATCGCTTTAAACGCTGTTGTTTTTAAAATCCCGGGATAAATTACCTTTGTACGCATAGGAAATCGCGGTAGGAGGCTAGTATATAATATAGATAATACTCCTTTTATTTGATTACAAGTGGCGACTGGAAAAGGAAATGTCAGAAAATGAATGTCAGGTTAGAAAACAGACATGATATACCTAGGACAATCATCATTGTCTTCATTCACACATAATATTAGCCATTATAATGTATTTCCGTGTTATTAGCTGCCCTTCAGGAACAATATAAACTAATAACTGTTCCAATAATACTTATTCCATGGTCTATTGTTTAAAAAACAAATGATGATGAACATCATTAAACTGACACAAACTTGGAATTGTTAAATAATATTCAAACTATTAAATCCTTAGTTTTATAGATAAGTTTTTGTCTCTGCATGGCTTTATCTATACTTCTATACTAATATTATAAAGAGCTAAAATTTGTTAGTTTGTATGTAGGGGGTAATCTTTGGAATCGCTGGTCGGATTGCCAAAATTATTTCACTGATAGATAGCTGCTATGTTCCTGAGTGCTATAAACATAACGCTACGATTAAATGGATGCCGAGCAGCGGTTGAAACCGCGCGAGAGTAGCTAGTTGACCATAAATTCAGCATTAAGAGCTCACCGTGGTACTCAGGGTCATTTAATGATTACTTAACTAAGTCTTTAGCAATTTTCGTCATAAAAGGAATATTAAATGACTCAGAGTACAATTTGTTAATTCCTCTGAACTTCTCAACAAATTGCATACGCATTTGCGACGCATACAACAGGAATAGCCGCTGAGCATAACATAGTAAACATTAATTTTAAACCAGGTATACTGATGGAATCAGGTACAACCGTACAATGTGATTGAATCGATCCCAATACATTGAAGGATCTCAATGATGTTCACTGCCCAAAATAGGTCAACAATAACCTATTGTACTATATTTGTTAATGTAACGTCATAGCTGCTACTGCGCCGGAGTGATTCATAGAATGCATTGTAAACGTCCATCTTATTATGTATTTAAAATGTTTAGTAATTAATTACTTTGAACAGCTGTTCAGGTATAAGTGTTTATTTCTTAAGTTAATTTTCTTTATAATTGTTGCGATCATGCTCGAACATTTTCAAACTTCGTTGACCATTTTCGGAATGAATCGAACATTTTCGTCACAAACAGAGCTGTTAGTTTAATCGAAAATTTGTTACTGATGATGCATGCAGTGATGATGCCTATGCATGTTTTTATTGTCGCATTTAACCCTGTTTCTATGTATTACAGAACTTAAAAGTATTCAAGTGAAAAGTCGTTAAAGTATTGTTTCCCTAACAAAGCTACAGGCGAAACGAATTTTAATCAAGATGCGTTGTATAGGTCACGGTCATTCACACTATTAAAAGCCTTAATTGGTTGCTATCGAGTGCTTAATAACGCCTTTAGATTTGGAAGTGTCTGACTCAGTAATTGATTACCATATCTGTCGTAAGATTATTATTTTGCCATTGAATAAATGGTGATATCAACCTACACTGTTTGTTACTGGGTTTACATTTAAAGGCATTGATAAGTATTACTTGACACACATTTTGTATCATTACCTTTCCATTGATATGAGAATGCGAAAATGAAGGCGTGTCTGTAAATTTTAAATAACTTAATGCCTTTCTTTCCAGGACTCGCTGCCACGCGGCCATCACACTCTGTCAGCATCATCCCACCACCTGCACAGGGGCGCTCAATCCTTCGATGCCTCATCAAACAGCAGCGGAATCTCTTCAACGCACGTCGTCGAAATCCACAGCACGAATGGCTCCGACACCTCCTCACGATGGGGCAACTCCCTTGGCAGCCATGGCTCCTCATCAGGCCTCGTTTCCATAGCAACTGAGAATAACAACGTCAAATTCACCGCCCCACACTGTCTTGATAACCTTCAACCTCCTAAGGATTCTAAGGACTTGCCTACTCCATCATCTACACCAACGACTTCAAGGAAGTCTCGAAGGAGATCGAATCTCTTTACTCCTTCTAAAAAAGGAGATGATAGGTTGAAGAATGGGGAGCTTGGTTCTGGAAGAGCGATTCCTCTAAAGCAAGGATATTTGTACAAGAAGAGCAGCAAGGCTCTGAATAAGGAGTGGAAGAAGAAATATGTGACGCTGTGCGATGACGGCAGGCTGACTTACCACCCTAGTTTACACGTAAGTTTATTTTATTTAATAACATTCTAACATTTTCCGTAACGATGGAGTTTCTTGCTCGTTTTTCTCCATTCGAATCTACATTTTGGAATGAGCATCTAGCTTCAATGACGAATAGACTGACAGACTGCTATTCTATTTTGAAGTTTCAAAAGTACCTATTTATGGTTTATTTGGAATAAATGATTTTGAGTTTGATTTTCCATTCATCATCATCATCATTAACAGCCGGAAGACGTCCACTACTGAACAAAGGCCTCCTCATTACATTTTCCATAATTTTCCATTGCAACTGTCTATTAAGACATGTTGACTGCTTCATCGGTCACCTACAAAATAGTCGCCACACGACTACCGTGCAAGAATTTCTATTCGTCATTCCCAAGTCACTAATATTATGAACGAAAGTTTGTCAGAAAAGGATGGACGTTTCTTTCATATAAAAACTAGTCAGGACAGAGACCAATAATAGTCTACAATAATACACAGGCTAGTTTTCATTTGAGTTACGCGGACGAATCTGCTGGTAGAAGCTAGTATTCTTATTATGTTTTGTAAAACCAATAGCTGGTTTCTTCTAGCCCTTGAAAATATGTTTCTTTTAAATAACAATTTATTAAACATTTTCAGGACTATATGGAAGATGTGAATGGCAAGGAGATATCTCTACAGTACGTGACAGTGAAGGTGCCTGGCCAGAAGCCGCGAGGCTCCAAGTCCATCATTACCACCGTGCCGGGGTACAACGGGTACAGCAGTCTCGATATACACGATAGCATTGGGGGACTGTCTATCGGTGAGTTGTAAATCTTACTTCTTACTTATATTATAAATGCGATAATTAAGATGTTTGCTAATCGTGCCAAAACAGCTGGACGGATCTGGATGAAATTTGGCATAGGCATTGAATACATTCTGGAATAGAACATGGCTACTTTTTATCAACATACCACTCAGGCGAAGCCGCAGGCGGAAGTTAGTTTAACACAATTCTTATGCCATCTAAACGATAAGCTGCTAATTTGAATCATAACAGTTTTGAATAGAGTTGGTATTTAGATGTTTTCTTTGTGAATTCGCCCGCATAGTGTTTTATAGTACCTAACTGTACTGTAAAAACTGTATTGTCGATTACAGTTTTTTTTTTATTTCCAAACAAAATGTCAAATCATAGTAGGTACTACCCAACGCGATATCAAACACAATATCATAAATTCTCAGTAGTATGACGGCAACTGTTCCTGATTTTTGCTAATCACAATCTCGGTTTTAAATACGTAGATATCATATACATACGAAATCAGTTACTTATATGAATCCCTTGAACATATTTCATAACTCACAACTTAATAATTTTCCTTTTACAGGCTACAAAGACAAACCAACGCGGGCGACAGACAAAGCACTAATGTCTGCGTTCGACACGATGAAGGAACCAGCGACGAGCCGACAGTCGCTTGCCTCAGAAGTAGAGGTCGGCTCCACCAACGGACAGGACAAGGACACGCCGCATGTCAAGAAGAGACATCGCCGAATGAAGAGCAGCGGCGTCAAGAAAGATGGAGATGAAGGTATGTATCTAGTAGATATTAGTTTTCAGTAGGTTTCGATATTGGAAATAACACCCATCATACATTAGCAAAAAACTTATATAAATTAGGGTAGTCATATCACGTTTCTTTAATATCTCTGTTGCTTTTCGGCGCTACTAAATTTAAACGTATTTTTGAGTAGGCTGATAGACAGGGTCGTAGTGCCCTCTTTTCGGTGGGTTCGTAACCTGGCAAGTACCAATGTGACGTTTTCAGAGTCTTATGTTCTTTTTAACTTCATTACTAGACACCACTGACATACGGTGAAGGAAATCATCGTTAGGAAATCTGGACTTATAACTTATAATTTTAAGTTTGTAATCGCCAATCCGCCTTGAGCAAGCGTGGTGATTAATGCTCAATCCTTCTTCATATGAAAAGAGGCGTTGGCTCAGCAGTGAGCACCTATAGGCTGTTCATGATAATGATAGATAGAGAGTGTTCCTAATTAAACAATTTGTTTTTTCGCATCTTTATTCTTTATCAAATAATTAAAATTATATTGTATTACAGAGGGAGAATACGCGACGTCATGCGAGTTCACGATAGTGAGCTTGGACGGCAAGCGCTGGCGGTGGGAGGTGACGGGCGCGGCCGCGGGCGCCGCCGCCGCCGCCGAGCGCGACGCCTGGGTCGCCGCCGTCGAGGCGCAGATACTCGCCTCGCTGCAGGGACGGGTCAGTCTCATACATCCATTACATTACTTATTTATTTATTTTAACACTTTATGTGACTTAAGACTGCACGCGTTGGCGCGGCGGCTGGGCAACTGGCTGCCTTTAAGACAATCGCAACTTTTAAAAATTATATTAAAGATATTCCAAAAACCTCTTATCCAATACAGAGTTAAAAGCGTGGTGCACAGTACATTGCTGGATAGGAAAGAAATTATTTATTGGGTATTTTTTTAATATCCTATCTGAAATTCACACCTAGCCGAACCCATATGGTTCCAATAGTTGTTCTTATTCTCTGTATTATTGTAGCGTCAACGAATTCTAATTTACCTATTTTCGTTTGCAGACATCCCGGCAGCCAATGCCGACAGGCGCGAACTCGACGGGCGACGTCCGCGCCACGTACTACATCCGCCGCGTACACGGGAACGACAAGTGCTGCGACTGTGGCGCCGCAGGTATGGGGACGCCCTGTATTATAATCACAACTTGAACTATAGAAATATTGATAAAATTGAAAGTGTGTGATAGCCATGCTTTGGCACGAATGGGTCGGCTTGACCGGAATGGTAAAACTGCCTCACAGAAAAGCGGCGTGAAATAGCCACTGGGTTGTTTCGTGGCCGCTCCCCACTTTTTCCCCAATACCAAAAGATCCACAATCCTGAAACCTCGCCAAAAAGCCGTCAACGCAATGACCAGATATTCACCAGTGTTCCAGTGTTAATTGCTAACCGCATTCATTTGTTCTGACAATCCTTGCGAATGTAACATCACAATTCCGCTCCTTGAGCTGTCTCTCATAATCATGACTAGCATAGACTTAGCATTCGTCAGTATACTCTATACTGGTAGACTGCTTTTATACTACTATGCGTAAAAGATGCGCATCCCTGGTGCGAAGAGTGCGGGGCAGCGCCAACAGCATTCTTGGCATGATTGCCAGTCGGCTGGACTGTAGTTACATCAGCCATTGCTCCGCCATTTGTCATGGGGTGGTGCAGTACTGGTTGTGTTATTTTAATTTATTTACTAGTTTCTGTGGTGGGTAGTTGTAAGCATTACTAATATTAGTCTGTAAGAACATTGTTACTAACGAATTGGACAACTAAGTCTGAAATAAAGTATATTCTATACTAATATTCATAGCAATGTTTTAGCACTTTGATCGACGCGACTCGACAAATTTTAAAACGGGTTATACTCAAGTGAATGTTAGGGTCTATGAGCTAGCTGTTATAAAGTGTAACCCATCCTATTGCCAAAAGTAGGAATATTTAATGTTAACAACGAATTATTAAACTGTCAAAATTAAAATAGACTGACAACAATTTACAATCGTGCAACGTGCAATATGCATCATTTGTTCACATACCTACACAAACCTTTCGCTAATATGATGAAAATATTTTGTAATGCATCGTATATTTGTTCACGCGTGGCTATCGAACTCCTGACCTTTGTCGTGGAATGTCAAGTTCATACCCGTTGTGCTAATGAGGTTATTAAACCTACAAAACAATTGATGGATTTGATATCAAAGCAATAAATAAGATTTTATTGCACGCCATCTTTATTTAATCGTGTTTGCATTGAGACTACATTTTATACATATTTTTATAGGTAACTAACTACTCTCGCGCGGTTTCACCCGCTGCTCAGCTCTATTTGATCGTAGCGTGATGTTTTATAGCCTATAGCATTCAGGAACATTGTAGCTATCTATCGTTTTAAGAATTTTGGCAATCCAACGCAGCGGTTCCAAAGATTACCCCCGTACACACAAACTTACAAACTTACAAATTTTACCTCTTTATAATATTAGTATAGACTTCATAATTGTATTATTAAAAATAAAATACCTACTCAAACACAGACATATTCTAAAAAAAAATCGAAATATCCCATGGTACGCGATACCTGCTTGAAACAAAAACAATGATTTTGACTTTATAGTAAGCTTGAAATAATATAATAATAATAATATGTATTTATTTTCAGATCCAGACTGGGCAAGCTTGAACCTTGGCGTGCTGATCTGCATCGAATGCTCGGGCATACACAGGAACCTCGGCTCGCATATATCGCGAGTACGATCCCTCGACCTAGATGAATGGCCGTGAGTATTTATTTAATTAAAAGTATCCACTACACAGTATAAAAAAAGTCGCTTTTTCTGTCCTTATGGTATAATATATGGTATAATTACTCTTTTATTTTTGTTAAGCAATAGATAAGTTGTATAAAACGAAAAGTAAAATAACATTTTCTGGCTGGAAGATGTAGGCTTAGAACAATGTGGACTGAATTTTATTTGTAATTATGAATTATGTATTAATCCCATTGTAATTTTATTTCAGATTGAGCCACGTCAGTGTAATGGTGTCTCTGGGTAATGATCTCGCGAATTCAATATGGGAGGCGGATTTCAGAGGCCACGTGAAACCTATGGCCACATCTAGTCGAGAAGAGAAAGAAAGGTAAATAATTTTCAAAACTTTTTTATACTGATTTTACAATTTATTGTTGAAAGTTTTTCGTGCGTTCTTTGATTATTTGATTGAGTGGTTGTGACTGTTCAAGGGTTTCCATTTTATTCGGAAATGAATCAGGTTTTGAGGCATTCAGCTAATAATGATTTGACTAAGGTATTGATATTTTAATAGGGTAGGGTAAGTTTTGTGAAGGTTTCTCTTCAATGTCAACGATCAAATGATTCTAATTTGAAATTTGATTAGGTATATTAAGAAAATTAACAAAAAAATGAACTTATTAGAATGATGATCGAACGTATATCTCGTTCGATCGTCGTTATAATAAGTTCATTTTAATAGTAATTACTAATTGCCGTTTTTCGTTGGGTTTGCGCTTGCTTCAGCCAGTTGTCGTCGGGGCCGCGTTGTCGCGCGGATGGTATGTTTAGAACAAATGTGTAATAAATACTCAATTTAATTGTAGATGGATCAGGTTGAAGTACGAGCGGCGCGCGTTCCTGAGCTCGGAGGCGGTGGCGACGGGCGTGGAGGCGCTGCGCGGGGCGGGCGCGCGCGGCGCCGTGGGCGGGCTGGCGCGCGCGCTGGCCGTGCCGGGCCGCGCCGCGCCCGCGTCGCACGACCGCGCGCTCGCACTGCGCGCCGCCGCCGCCGCAGGGCATCTCGCCGCCGCACAACTGCTCATATGGGTAAGCTAATCTCTTAATTGACTACACGACTGCCGACTGCCGAGCAACGTAGTCCCACAGGAAACAACAGTTTGATCTACAAATTGTTGTTTTAAATTTTGGTGAAAAGGAAATTGGTGTTGTGTATATGTGAAAATTTATGTTTGTACATGCACCCACGACACAGGAGAAAGTCCTAGTGTCAAACATAATTATATAAAGTATAAATCTAGACTCAGATACTCATCTATGTTTGAAAACTTGTAATATAACAAAAACATGTTTACGTATGTAAGACATTTTCCCAAATGTAGCACATAGTAAAGTAGTACATACAAATTACAATCCATATTCAAGACATTGTGAAACAAACGCTTTATCTTTTAAGCTCATTCCAAGATGTAAATTTATATACGTATGAACTTAACATAGTTAATTGTTTTGTAAACAATTTGAAATAAGACCTACTTTGGCAGCAAAACAATAACAAATAATACACAATTGGCAATAAATCGTTTCTATACAATAATTCTAAAACGTTTCTTTTCATTCACAGCACAACGGCAACCCCAACTACCCGGACGCAGACGGTCACACCTGCGTATTCTACGCGCGGGCCGCGGCCAATCACTTATCAGGCATCCCCACTCAGTACCCCAAGAACTTACAACTCACTTGTCCCCTACATCCCAACCCACCTCATACCTCCACTCCAAGCTCCGCCACGAACTCAACAAGCTCCAACTCGAGCACTAAGAGCTCTCTAAAGAACCCCGAACCAGAATGCAATTGCATCATCTTCGAGCTTCTAAACGCTCAAAGCGCGAGCAAAGCCCTCGTCGAACTCCTGATTGGCTTACAAAACAACCAATACATGAACGGCTACGACCACAACGGTAGTGTTGCCAGCTTCGCGCACAATACTCTAGGGCGGCCATCTTTAGGCCCTAATCTGTCGCTCACGAATGGGAAATGCGGCAGCGTAGTGTAATGGTTTTTCTATCTAATTGTCGGTTTTGAATAAATGTTGATATTGTGACTGAACGTTGTTACCGTTATGGTATATTTATACTCAATTCGATGTGTGGTGCAGTTTTGTCAGATATTTTTTGGTTCGTCTGCCGAATTATTGTCAGCTGTTGAGCATTGGTAATTGATAAAATGTTTGTCGCTTTTAGTAACTGATGTTATTTGGATCTTAATATTGCGACCCAGTGACTTATTGTTATTTATGTCAGCATTATTTAAAACACTGACTAACTCCAATAAAAGATCTCACAAAACTGCAACTCTCATATTTTTTTGTATAATACATGTAGTGTATTAATATGTAAACATGTATACATATTACACACGACTGACGGTACATTTGACGTAATCTCCGGTTCACGCATAGATTAAATAATTAAATAAACAATTTTCTCGAAGTTAGTTAAAAAATTACGTGTCTGTCAATTTAAAAAAGTTAATTAAATTAGAAAAATTGTACAGCGTGATTATAGCCTTACGCTAAGATCGCGCTGTACAGGACTAAATACCTAATCCTAAGTACTACTAGCTAACGTTATCCTACACTATCCTAGATAATCTAACACTTACAATATCCTATCCTAGATCCCCTAAGCCCAATAACCTATGTAGTCTAAGTTCTATCCTATATTTGCCTAGCGTACAATGCGTATAGGCTTGGTACTCTGTGGTATACTGTGATACAGACCAGCACTTCTACGCACCTACTACCAAGCCCTTAACCTAAGGCACGTACTATAGTGGTACACTGTGGTATGCTGTGATACAGACCTACTCTTCGTACGCGCCTAATGCCCTAGCCCTACAGTCCCTAGACCCTAGCCCTACTATACGTATTTATATATACTTATATAGATAGGTGCAGGATATCTGCCAACTGAGACCTATGATGGCAGACGGAATGTGGGTAGGAATGGGGTATGGTGGTGATGGTTTTCTCACTGCCTGTCGAGCAGACTCACACGACAGATCGGTTGATGGCTAAAGGTGTCTTGGCCACAGTGAGAGGTGGAGGAAGGGTAGTGAGTCAAAGTCGGAATCAACTTAATGACTCCTTTATTGCTTAATCTACATGATCTTATATACTAAACTTATCCTATGTACACACATACCACATTATGATTGTGTGCTATGCGTGTAATGTACCATCTCAGTGCTATATACCTTACGTGATTACGTGATGTTTTATTAGTTTTATATATTTAATAAGTAATATGTTTTCCTTATTTTAATCACGTAGGATTATCTCGCTGAAATGGCACGTTCATGTGTGAACATTCTGCCCTCTCCGAGGAACAGGCAACTCCATTTGATATAGTTCTATGGAGTCATCCTTGGCTGCGTCCTGGTTCTCCGGCTGCTTCCTGGGAGGCTTCAGTAGTTGGTTCGGCTGGCTGTAGATGGCGTTCCATGTAGATGGCTGGTTGTTGCCTTGATCTGGTGCACGTTGTGGGTGTGGCGGATCAGCTTTTGATGATTTAGGGTGTTGTCGAAGTCGATGTGTTCCTGTTTTCGTACACGTAACTATCCTGGGACCATAACAAACACCTATAATTATAATTGTCATCAATATTATTGATGATACGCAGCTCACTAAGTATGTGTGAGATTGAATGTCCTTCCATATGTTATCGTTAAGTTCTATTTCCAATCCAGACTCTTCATTTATTAAGTGCTGATAAAAGTCATTGGAACTTTCTATTACAGCCTCCTTAGATATATTTAGTTTTTTACTTCGATTTGATATATATGTGTATATACTAAAATTTAGTTGTTTTGAAAAGGACTCTGCTACCTGAATTGATAACGTTCTCTTAGCAGCGAGTCTGTTGTTAACGGATTTTATGATACAATTGTCAGCGATTTTTATTACTCCTACGTCTTGAATGGTTATTTCTTCTCGCTTACTATCACAAACTATGGATATAGTGCTACTAGTTTTTGTTATAAGCAACCATGAGTTTTGCATGCATAGCTGTTTCCAAATTATATTACTTGACATTTCAAAGATATGGGTAGGACATTTAGTGTTAGTTTGATTTTTGAATAATTGGTCAACGATGCAATTTTCATTTAATTGCATGTTTTTCACCACTCCAGGGAAGCAAAGAAACTGTTCGTGCCTTTGTATACACTCTTTGAATTCTTCGTGGTCCAGTTCGAAGTATAATTCATTATTGTAATCAATTGCTAAAAATGCTCTCGATACTTCTATGCTTTCGAACGTATTGTTCATATTCTTCTTAGGTACTGGTGTAACATGAATTAAAGTATACTTTGTAATATCTTTAATTGGAAAATAAGCGTGTACTTGTATATGAGTCATATTCTCGACTATCCTTGTATCTAATAATAGTTCTTGGACTATTCTAATGTTGGATGGCATCTTCCTATTTGCGGAAAATATTAATTCACTAACATTTTTGGGTGGCAAGACACTATACACGCTAGCCTTTGTTAAGTATACTTCTAATAACCCATTGTAGTAGTTTAAAATTTCGTCAATGTAATTATTGGCTACTTGGAACGTTTGCAAAATCTGAATCTTTATATCATTGTGATTAGTTTTAATGTACCAATAGTCATAGCTATTTATGCGCTCTATTACTTGTGACAGTTTTGTTTGAAATCCTTCTAGTTTATGTCTTATTCTTTCTTCAGTACCATTTACTTGGGAAATAGCCGATATCATGATTTTAGTTTGGTGACTAGATGCTTCAATCAATTTTTGTTGGTTTGAGTTTAACGAATCTATGTCTCTGTATATCTCGTCATTTACACCAAACACTGAGGTTAAAAAATTCCCCAGCAAACCCCTTCTCCTTCGCGTTTCATGAAACTCTGTAAAATATTCTTTGATGCGTTCATATTTTGTCTTTTGCTCCAGTAAATGATGATAAAATTGATTACAATGTGTATCCGTCGTTGCAACGTCCGCCTTGTCACAAAGTTGCTTAAACTTGGATAATGCACTTTCTATCCTAATGTAATCCTCATTCAGTCGCTCTTTCTTATATACCGTCTCTATACGAAACATGCCTCGATCTATGTTTGCGGTTCCTATGTTTTCAACATAAAATCCTGGAGACAAATTCTTCACGGTATATGTCTGTGTAGCAATCATAGTACCGAACAATTGTAACATTATTAGTAAGCATAATAGCCATTTTGACGTGCCTCTACAAGACCTCGGACTCTTATTACTATAGCATGTAGTAATATTCGTATTAACTTTGGTTTGCGATTGATGACTCAGGTCCGCATTTATAGGCAACGGAATGAGCGTGTGTATCGACCGTTTCTGAATGGCGCCTGATGATTTTTTAAGAGTAACTACTCTAACTAAACCATCATTGCCTTTATGTATTTCCTTGACTTTCGCAAGTGGCCAATTGCTAGGATTAATATTATCTTCTTTCATAAGTACTAACGTTCCAATTGATATATTATTCTCCGTTGTTTTCCATTTGTATCTTTGTTGTAACTGTTGTAAATAATCACGAGTCCAACTTTTCCAGAAGTCTCTTTTCATTTTTTGAATATTTTTCCATCTATTTAACAAATCCGTATTAATGTTAGACAGTGGATCAGGTATTCCTACTGCTTCTCGTCCAATCAAAAAATGACTTGGTGTTAGCACTACATTATCATTTATGTCTTCACTTTGTGCACACAATGGTCTAGAATTTAAACAGGCTTCCGTTTGATATAAAAATGTAGATAATTCTTCGTAAGTTAATGTTTGGTCTCCTATTACCCTGTGTAAGTGGTGTTTCATTGATTTTACTCCTGCTTCCCAAATACCGCCGAAATGTGGCGACGATGGGGGAATAAAATGCCATTGCGTTCCCATAGCTGTCACACTGCTTTGAAATGTGTCTGATTGGGTTATTTCTAACAGCTCCTTGTATAAGAAATTAGCTGCTCCCACAAAGTTTGTAGCGTTATCGCTGTATATATGTGATACTGGGCCTCTTCTTGCCATAAACCGCCGTAATGCCGCTATGAAACTTTCTGTGGACAAGTCTCCTACTAATTCAAGGTGTATAGCTTTTGTCGCCAGACACACAAAAACTGCAATATATCCTTTGTACGATTTATGCCCTCTTCCTTTCATTGTTCTCACTTTTATGGGTCCTGCATAATCGACCCCAGTATGAGTAAACGGAAATGACTCTGTTACTCGGGCTCTCGGTAGTATCCCCATTTTTTGTTTACTTGCCGATGCTGTATATCGAATACATTTTACACATTTTCTTATGTAGCTCTTTACTACACGTTTCCCGCCAAGCACCCAATATTTTTGTCTTATATAGGCCAATGTTAACGTATTACCTCCATGTAATGTTGTCAAGTGAGCGTCATGAATTATAATTGAAGTCACGTGATGCTTCTGCGGTAACAAAATAGGATGTTTTTGATCGTAAGGTAGGTTTGATCTTTGGAGCCTACCTCCCACTCTTAATAAGCCGTCATTATCGATAAATGGGTCTAAGCAAGCCAGTTTATTGCCTTTCTTTAGCGACAACCCGTCACTAATCGCGCGATATTCTTCCGAGAACACTTCCTTTTGTACCAACTTTAAAATATGATTGGCAGTATTATTGATTTCCATACAACTTAATTGGCCATAGTTCCTTCCTTGTCTTATAAATCTATAACAATACGATAAGACTCGTACCATCTTTTTGAAGCTTGAGAATCTTTCCCATATTGATTCCTTTGGTTCAGTGCTTACGTAAAAACTGCGTTTTATTTCTTCGCATATTTCTGGAATAGTTTTCGTACTTGGTATTGAATTATTTTTTAGCCACTCTGGGCCATTCCACCACAGATCTAATTGTTGTAATTTACTTGGCGCGATACCTCTTGAGATTACATCGGCAGGGTTCTGACACGTATTAACATAGTTCCACTTGGCCTTGGGTAATAATGTTTGAATTTCAGACACCCTGTTAGCGACGAAAGTTTTCCAACGATCTGCTTCTCCCTTGATCCATCCAAGCGTGATCATTGAGTCCGTCCAGCAATATATATCTATGTTAACCATTTGCATGTCCTTAATAACGTTTTTCATTAATTTTGCGAGTAATAACGCTGCACACAATTCGAGTTTAGGTAAAGTTATTTTACGTTTCTTTGGCGCTACTTTGGACTTGGCTTGTAATAAAGTGACGTCAGCCGAGTTATCACTTTTTATTACTCGACAATAGACCACTGCGCCGTACGCTTTTTCGGAACTATCGCTGAATCCGTGAAGTTCAATCTGCGCATTAGGTGTATAATGACACCATCTCGGAATTGATATACTTTCCAGTGCTTTCAATTGGCTTTGTATCTCTTCCCACCTTTTCTTTATAGAGTCCTCTACAGGCTGATCCCATTCACTTCCATTTGCCCAAAGATCTTGGATGATTAGTTTCATATTAATAATAACTGGTGCCAACCACCCAAGTGGGTCAAAT